GTTTTAATGAAGAAAACTAAGTACAGTGGTGTCCCGCATAATCGTTGCTATCCGGATTAATCGTTGCTATCCGGAAACATCGCTAAACGGAACTAAAAACCCCATTTGTTTAATGCGTTCCTATGGGGCCCAAACTCACCGTTCAGTGATCCTCCATAGCACCGCCATTTTTGCCGCCTCAGTAAGCGAGGGGAGTGCGCGAAAATGCATGCGGCAGCCATTTTGGGCACCCAGCGGCCATTTTGGAACCGCCGATCAGCTGTTCTAAAAACATCGCAATGCGAAGATCGCTAAGCGATTGAAACGCTTACCGATCATCACAATGCGATGTTTGCCCTTTCAGAACATCGCAATGCGATTGCATTAGCGACCCCAAAAAATAGGTCGCTATGCAGATTCGTTGTTAAACGGTGCGCTCATTATGCGAGGCACCACTGTATCTGTTAAAATTCAGCACCAGAATGTATGCTGTTCCTAATAATGCCGGTTTTTTATATCTCTGATGGTGGTATTCTGAAGATCTAAGATGATGATGATGATCATACCTTTTATGGCAGGATAGCTCAGTGAGTTATTTATGGAGCCAGAGACTAGGACTAGGAGTGGGATTTTTTACTTTTATTTTACTACAAATATCACAGTTCTTCATTCATTCATTCATTCATTCATTCACTCATTCATTCATTCAGTTTATATACCACTCATTAGTACAAGCACTACTCTGAGTGGTTTACAAGATTAGAACTTAAAACCCTCAAGGAGGGAAAGACATCGGCATATCTCTGTTGACATTTTGTTCCAGACACTAGGGGCTACCATCAAAAAGGCATGATTCCTTGTATTCACCAGTTTGGCCTCCCTCGATGTGGTTATATAAGTATAACCATTCCACATGTGTGACTGAAACTGATGGCAGTACATCAAAACATCTCACCCTTGGCTTTATCTTATTTTGTTGTTGTTGTTCAGTCGTTTAGTCGTGTCCAACTCTTCGTGAACCCATGGACCACAGCACGCCAGGCCCTCCTGTCTTCCACTGCCTCCCGGAGCTGGGTCAAATTTCTTATTTTATTCAGTTTTAAATGCTGTTGTGGTGTCAATCTGCATTTTTCCGGAAAACTGGAAGTATACACTTTACATTGGCAACCAATCAGCCCATTAGGTGTAGGTTTTTCCAGCACTGAGAGAGTCATGCCACAAATTTGTGAAAGAGGAGGAGAGAAAAAAGTAGTGACAACCTTAATTCAAATTCAATAGAGTTAGTGTACAAATTTTTTAAGCATTAAACACTCAAAAGTCTGGGCCTCGAGGGATAAATGTCAATTTTAGTTATTCTCATGTTGGAATTATTATTATTATTGCAAATGTGAAGACATTTGCAAGTTTTGGAAGATTGTCATTAAAGGCAAACTGAAACTAACTTCTCATCTGCATTTTGTTTCCAAAACTTTTGATGCTTATAAATTTTTAAAACTCATTTTTACTGCATTTTGTTTGTTTAATTTTCTGTATAATATAATAGTGATTCTAAGGCAATCAATGATAATGGTAATGGAGGAAATAATTATAATGATAATAATGCTACAGCTCACTGTTCAACATTTTGATTCGGATTGTAGGGTTTGCTGTTATGAATATTGTTGGGTTAATACGTTGTAAGTTCCCTTAGGAAGGCTTACGAATGCTGAAACAGATAAAACAAAGGTAAACTGAGAACAATAGAAGAATAACTAACAGGAAATGACCAAAAGATCAGTAAAAGGGATGGTTTATTTTAAAAAAGCGAAGTTTTCAGAAGATAGAAGACAAACACAGAAGGTGAAAAATCTAAGTAACAAGCAGATCAAAATATGGTGAAGAGGGGAAGAAATTTGAGAGTATATGCAGGGAGTCAGTGACATTAGGGTCTCTGGCCATTTTCTTGTCATGTCATCTCCTTGTCATCTAGCCCTCCCCCACTGGGAAAATGGTTCTTAATCCCAACATATTAGGTGTCAATTTGACCCAACTCCGGGAGGCAGTGGAAGACAGGAAGGCCTGGCGTGCTCTGGTCTATGGGGTGATGAAGAGTCAGATGCGACTAAGCGAATAAACAACAAAATTAGATGTCACTGCAGAAGAGAGGCCCTTTTCTGAATTGCCACAAATATTAGTGTCCTAAAATAGGTAAATAACCATTTGCTTGGCTTGCTCTCATGCAAAAGAACAAGAACCAGCCCTCCTTTGCCAACAACATAGAATCATAGAATAATGGAAGGGCCATCGAAGGCCATTGAGTCCAACCCTCTGCTGAAGGCAGGAATTCAAATCAAAGCTGGTCTGACAGAAGCTTGTCCAGTTTTCTCTTGAATGCCCTCCTGTGTTGGAGCTCTCACCCCCTGGGCATGCATTCCATTGTCCTACTCCTTGAACAGCTAGGAAGTCCCCCCCCCCCCCCGCCCCCCGGGATATTCAGCCTAAATCTGGCTTCTTGTAGCTTGAGCATGGCAGGATATTTTCTGGCACTCACATTTAGAGTTCTTCCATTTCTGAGAATGTTTTTAAACAAATTGTTTACATTGCAAAGAACTACAGTAGCTGCTCCTTGTCTTTAAATGTGGACTTTAAAATAGCAAAACCATCGGTTGCATCTTTTTGATCAATCGACTAGTCTTTTGGTGGTTGTGCCGTACCTTTGCTTTGCTTCACAAATGAGAAAGACAGCAGTTTTATGCGCAGACCTTTTGTGCAAATTCAAGCAACTTGGGTGGGGTTTAAACCTACATATTTTCTTGTTCTCTTGATAGAAAAAAAGAACTGCTACAGAAATGGATGATGTCTTGACAGGGAGTTCCAATGTGTTGCCACAGGCTTTTTGTTCTTGTTGTTTAGTTGTTTAATCGTGTCCGACTCTTTGTGACCCCATGGATCAGAGCACGCCAGGCCCTCCTGTCTTCCACTGCCTCCTGGAGTTGGGTCAAATTCATGTTGGTCACTTCAATGACGCTGTCCATCCATCTCGTCCTCTGTCGTCCCCTTCTCCTCTTGCCTTTACACTTTCCCAACATCAGGGTCTCTTCCAGGGAGTCTTCTCTTCTCATGAGATGGCCAAGTATTGGAGCCTCAACTTCAGGATCTGTCCTTCCAGTGAGCACTCAGGATTGATTTCCTTCAAAAATGGATAGGTTTGTTCTCCTTGCAGTCCAGGGGACTCTCAAGAGCCTCCTCCAGCAGCCCAATTCAAAAGCATCAATTCTTCGGCGGTCAGCTTTCTTTTTGGCCCAGCTTTCACTTCAATACATCACTACTGGAAAAACCATCGCTTTGACTATGTGGATGTTTGTTGGCAAGGTGATGTCTCTGCTTTTTAAGATGCTGTCTAGGTTTGTCATCACTTTCCTCCCAAGAGCGACAGGCTGCCTCACTGAAAACAAGTAGTTGTCTGGGTGTTCTTCACATTCTAATTGTATGCATGAAATGTAATGAATTTGTATCAAAGCAGGGAAGCAGAAGAACAAAGCTGTTTGGTTCCCCCAGGTTGGACAGTCGTTTTTAGCCTGAAGTCTGGTTTCCAACTTGAGAAATATCCTTTTTGCACTAGGTGGTGGGACTAAAGCACATGGTGGTGTCATTTCATCTAAGTCTTATCAGCTTCCCCCCCCCCAACAAGCAACACAACTCAAATCTGTGCCATGTGGGCTTAGGAGTAAGAAACAACACAACTTTCCAACATACACAACACAGCTTAATTCTATGTAAACGTCCTTTAGAGTAAATCCCAATTCAGTAGCTTCAGAGGCTATAAACCGAAGTTCAGTTCTTTGCAACCTCTTTGTGATGTAGATTCTTATCTCCTGTCATTAATCAGAGATAACTAGTGAAGCTTTCAGGCCAGAGGTCCTCCTCTATACTCTAGTCTAACATGAAAGACAGCCGTTCTTATACTGGGATGAGGGTGTACAGGATCATAGCTGAACAATTGTGTGCAGGATTGTAGATGTGGCATGGGTGGCAATCCTGTACCCCAGCCTCCAAGGAAATCTGTGGATGTTCACATGTTGTTGGATTGCAGCTCTCATCATCTGTGGTGTCAGCAGGGAGGATGGAAGATGAAGTCCAACAACACAGAGAAGTCCAAACGTTCCCTGTCCCTGCTCTATACACTTACCTGGTGGTAAATCAATTAAACTTGAGTGGGACTTAGGTAAAAGTAAAGGTTCCCCTTGACATTGAGTCCAGTCGTGATCGACTCTAGGGGACGGTGCTCATCCCCATCTCCAAGCCGTAGAGTCAGCGTTTGTCCGAAGACAATCTTCCGTGGTCATGTGGCCAGCGCGACTAAACATGGAATGCTGTTACCTTCCCACCGAGGTGGTATCTATTTATCTACTTGCATTTGAATGCTTTCGACCAGCTAGGCTGGCAGGAGCTGGGATGAGTGACAGGAGCTCACTCCATCAAGTGGATTGGATCTTACGACAGCTGGTCTTCTGACCTTGCAGCACAGAGGCTTCTGCGGTTTAACCCACAGCGCTACCATGTCCCCTTTTGAGTGGGACTTACTTGTAGCTATATATTTACACAATAATACAGCACATCGCTGATTTGGATTTATCTGTAGTACAGACTTAGCATGTCTCTTCTGAGTTTCAGAAAGTTGCTGAGGGTGCTGCAGCCCAGGCGTTGTTACCTGTGGTGAACACATTCATAGTCTTAATGTGACTGTGAGTTTTGCAGATTCCCATGGTGCTTAAAAAAACCAATCACACTGTAAAAACTGTTTGACCCTTCAAGAGAGTGGAAGAGGAGAGTTGTATATATATATATCCCACAGGAAATCTGTCATCCTAATTTCAAAGGCCTTAAGCATAATTTCTTATCTCCAGCCTGTGGTGTTAACATTACTTTAGATTCTCAAAACAGCATTACAATTTCTCTTAACACTGTTTTTGTCTGCAATTTACCTTGAATTAAAGACTCATGCAAGGCAGCTTTGAATTCTTCTCTATGCTTCAGTCATTTCCAATTGAGATAAGTTTGTTTGGGGTTCCTGACACTTTGAAATGAGTGGAATCTTTTGGGGCTGGGGTGAGGTGTTCTGGAAGGGAATTATTTTCAGCAAAAGCATTAAGTATAAAATAAAATAAGTGGATACAGACACAAAACTTGAGCCCTTGGAGCAATTAGGATACAGGCATTTTCTTTTAAAATCTGTGCCGTTGAACAGATATAACCTAACAGTTTACAAAAGATTTATAGGTTTTGACCAGCACCTTTAATTTAGCATGAAAACTAACAGAAAGCCAATGAAGGTGTGCCAAGACTGGGGAAATATCTTCATATGTACTGGTACCTATAATCAGCCACACTACCTGAAGGACTGTATCTCACCATGTGACCCTTCTCAGGTCTGAAAATCATCAGGGGAGGCTCTCCTCTCAGTCCATCACTAGGGCAGGCATGGTTGATGGGGACACAAGAGTCGGGTTTCTTTGTGGCTGCTCCTAGGTTATGAAATGTCCTCCCTTGGGAGACTCTGGCCACAATTGAAGTCTTAATTCTTTAGGCAGCCTTTTAACAATCATCTGAGTCCCTGAATGCCAGTTTTAATTAAGTGTGCTTTTGAAGTTTTAAATGTTTGTAATCATTCAATGTGTTTTAATCAGCATTACAACACTGTGTTGTGAACTGCCAGAGTGGCCTCACAGAAGAGTGGTATATAAGCTGAATGAATGAAGGAAGGAAGGAATGAAGGAATGAAGGAAGGAAGGTTTAATTGTTTTAATTGTTTTAATGCATAATCTATTGCATTTTATGTCTGATCCAGGATTGCTCTTCCTGTAATTTCAGTGTCACGTCTTCTAGATACTATAATTTAAAAACAAAAAACTAAGCGACTCTTAATTGTACGTTGACAAATTTTACTCATTTAAAGATGTTACTTTAAAGATGTTATTGCATTTTTTTAAAAAAGTCTGTCTATGCAAAACGTAAACACTCTGGCTGAACCAGAGGGGCTTTATTTCATACATGGTAGAGAATTTATCCCGAAATACAAGTTTCTTCTGGAGTCCCTTCATAGCCCCCTCCTTCCCTTATTGTGTTTAGCACGCAGAGTGATAATGTCATATAAATTTTTTGTCTCTGATTCCTAAGATTGATTGCACAGGCGCTAATGTCGTTTCTGCCCCCCTAATGTTTTGGTAATGGCCCTAAAGGGAGAAAACAGTCATTGAAAGAAGCAAGAAGAGTGGAACAATCTGAGTGTAGAATTCGCAGCCTTGACATGGCAGCCGGTTCATTTGTCAGTAGAAGAACAAAGCTGCTTACCAGCAGCAAAACTTGGCAATGAATTAAACTAATATGAAATAAAGTCCCAGCCCTCCTTGCCTTCAGAAGGATCAGGCAGCATCTGTTTTGTTTCAATGTAAAATGTTGACTCGGACAAAGGATGTTTTGTCCTGTTGTTTTCTTATCTTGCAGAGAAAGCAAAATAAAGCAGAAAGGCACAAAGCGTCAAGTCCTTGAAAATTAGAAAAGAGGGCTGAGGAGGGGGGCGAGGAAGTTAGAACCGTAGATCTTCATTGTTTTATTTTCAAAGGGATGAGACTCAAAAACTCACACTGCCAGGAGCGTGTGTCAGGGTAGAACCGCAGATGGAACGGTGGGGCATTCTGTGCTGCTGCTAATCCTTGGCCCTTCTTGATGACTCTCATCGCAGGCTTAGGTGGCTGCACACCAACACAATTTGGCACCCAACGAGGTGAAAGAGAGAGACCAACATGCTCAGAAGGACTGTGAGGGGTGCAGAAGTACAGTGTGTAAGGGATACAAGGACATTTCCCCTCGCTCTCCCTGAAAGAAAATCTCAGTTCAATTAAGCCTCCATATGCTCAGAAGCCTTCAGGAGCCTCTTGAAGATTAAGTGCCATTTAGGAAAAAAAAATACAGAAGTGGGTTGGAATTGTACATAGATTCTCAGCTTTTCTCAGATTCTCACTGAGCTGGCTGGATGGCTTAATGAGGAGACAGAGTCTGAGAGTTCAATCTCCACCCACCCCTTGTGCATTCCAGAAGAACCAGACAGTGTGGCTTTGGGCAACCTTCAGAGTCCCCACAAGAAGGGAAAGGTCAACTACTGCTCAGTACTCTTTACCTAGAAAATCCTGAAAATCTTTGCTATAAATTAGAATTGACTTGACGGTACGCAATGATGACATTGCTTTACCATAGAACCTGAGTCCCGCCATGATAAATGGGAAAAGCCTATTCATGTACACACACACCTAGAGGATGTTTCTATGCATACAAGCCTTCAATTTTTATATTTATTAATTGTAGTTAACTTAATGAGCAGGAGTAACAGAGGATTAGGAGGAACAAGGGATATCCAGAAGTACTGATAGCATGCCAAGAAGGCATGGATGGTTCCCTCGATGTTTGGGAGGGAAGCACGTTCTGCTGTGATCCACCAAGGTTACTTAAGTGTCTGGTGCATCCACCAGTCTTGTTGTTGGATAGACTACTCTGGAGGAGGGCTTCCGTGTCTGGAACCTAGAGGAACGTGCCTGTTACGGGATGATCTCCTCTCCCATTTCATTGGTGGTCTGTACCCACTGGTTTCATGTGTTAAGCAGGCACCTTGTGTTTTGTGAAACTGGGGTGCTGAACGATCACCCCTATTGTTTGTAGGATTATCTACTTGCTACAGAAGCCTATTAACTTCACCCACCCAGCTTCCCATATCACCCCTATTGTTTGTAGGATTATCTACCTGCTACAGAGGCCACCCACCCAGCTTCCCATTCTCTCATAGTCCTATTGTTACTTTTCAGTGGAGGTTATTATGAGGCAACATAAAGATGGCTTGAATATACACCTATCCGAAAGGTAGCCATTTGTTGTGGGGCTTCTTCATAATCCTTTGTGTGTTAATAGGATGCGTAGTAGTTTGATACTGCTCTTCCTCTTGTTTCGCTATGATGTCCAGAGCCCTCATAGCTGACATGGAGGCCATCTTCATAATCCTTTGTGTGTTAATAGGATGTGTAGTAATTTGGTACTGCTCTTCCTCTTGTTTCCTCTTGTCCGGAGCCCTCACAGCTGACATGGAGGCCACTTGTAAATACTGAGATACTTCCCATATTGTAATTCTACCCTCAGGACATTTCCAGCTACCGTGGTTTCACAGAGTCAATGGGACTTGCTTAAGTGTTGACTTAACCAAAGACAAAGCCGTTCCATGAGTTTACCATAACCGGAAATAACCATTGTTTTTGCCCATGTGGCCATATTGGAAGAAACACCCACTCTATTATGAACTTCTTCATGTTTTTTTCCCCATCTTCAAGTGAGACTCGGTTCAAGGCTTCCTCGCCTTCAGAAGCTGAAGGTGGATGCCTTTCTGTGATGTTACACAAACCACTTAATGACAATTACAGACATTTAGCACTTCTTTCAGATATAATTATGCTATTTATTGTTGCTGTCTCACCGTTGGGTTTTTTGTTTAACCATTACTCTGCACTGTCTGTTGAGGTATTTGTTCTCTGCTTTGTGGGTGAAAATTGGTGGAATGGTGGCATATCAATGTTCAAATACACAGCACAAATTTTTAATTCTTCCAAGCTTTCTGGAAGGGGCTAACATTCTGTCTTCTTCTCTTCCCCCCCTTTTAAAGGATTGCTTTGTTTTCGAAGATGACGAAGATGACGACGACAAGGTAAGAATATGTGGTGAGAGAGGGACTGAATGTGCTTTTGTACAGAGGACTCTTAGAAAAGGTGTATACTGCATGGTTATAGCCGTTTGATTCCACCTGATCTGCAATGGCTCCATCCAGTGGATATTGAAATACATGGTTTAGAGAAGTGAAGTAATTAGTGTTGTCTGCTGTATATTTGGATGCCCACTAAAGCTTTCAAAGAGAGGATCATAAGTACTTATCCAACTAGTAGATCTTTGGTCTAGATGGGTGGGGTAGAAGTCAAATAAATAAATAAAATACATACATACATACGTACATACATACATACGTACATACATACATACGTACATACATACATACGTACATACATACATACGTACATACATACATACGTACATACATACATACGTACATACATACATACGTACATACATACATACGTACATACATACATACATACATACAGTTCCCAGGTTTCTATAGAAAAAAGCCACAGTACACCCCAGCATTTAACTATCAAAAGATATTGCCTGAAGTCCAGTAGCACACTGTGTAAGGCTGATTGGCATCATCAGTTGTGTAAGGTTGATGACATCATCAGCTGCTCCAGGACCTTAGGCTCCAATCCCTTTCATCACAGGGAAACTGTCGGGAGCCACAACCTGGAAGGAAGGTGAATTTATGAAAATCGCTTGAGCTAAAATGGTCCTAATGGCTCTTTTCCCCTCTTCACCCTGTAGCCTACAATGGTTTGGCCATGACAAAAAGGAGTGTCAGAACCATCCAAAGGGGTGGGGTGGGGAGGGAATTGTTTAATTTCCTAAAAGCGACTTCAGCAAAGCAATAAGTCTAACTCCAGTCAGAAAGCGGTTTAGAAAAAGAGAGACAACTCTTGAAAAATGCTTGCTGTTGAGCCAAAATGGTGGGATATTACTGCCTTTTTTTTAGTGCACAGTCACTAAAATGTGTAGAAACAAACGTTGTGAAATAGCATTTGCCTCACTACCATTCACAAATGCCTAGAACTTGGAAAAGCTGTTGGCTGGGGTCTGACGCAGAAGGTCATGGTTTCTATCAAGTGTGTGTGTGTGATGGTTTCTATCAAGTCTCTCTCTCTCTGTGTGTGTGTGTGTGTGTGTGTGTTCTGTCAAAGTGTACAGAGAAAGAGGGAGAGAGCTCTGTGTGTGTGTGTGTGTGTGTGTGTGTGTGTTCTATCAAAGTGTAGAAACCTTTCTTGAATGCCACTGCATGTTAGACATAACAGACCATGCTTCTGGGACTTGTTACCCACCCCCAGAGACTAGCTGTTTATGACTAAGAAACACGTAGACACCTAGTTCAAAAACAGAGCAACCAATTAACCCCCTTCCATATGAATGATCGATCTTTAAAATGGACAAGCGGGAATCACCTGCTCCCCCGTACTTCTAAACACCAACCAAGGCGTTTGGGATGGAAGATAACCATGGTTCATTCCCAGGGCCTATCTCCCTTGGCTCCATGCTTTTCTGTACATTTGCTGATTTTAACATGACATTTAACTTCTTAAATGTGAAACTGCCAGAGAATGGAAACTAATGATTCTCCCAGCCTCACTCGGAAATACCTACTCCCAAACATGCCCATCAAAGTTTTTTTTTAAAAACCATTCATTCATTCATTCATTCATTCATTCATTCATTCATTCATTCATTCATTCATTCATTCATTCATTCATTCATTCCACCTTTCGTTCGTTCGTTCGTTCGTTCGTTCGTTCGTTCATTCATTCAGTCATTCATTCATTCGTTCATTCATTCATTCATTCATTCATTCATTCATTCCACCTTTCCCGTAATGAATCCAAGGCAGCTTACAGTATTAAAAAAACCACCAAAGTTAAAAGCTAAATTATTGCAACATTGAAAAGGCATTAAACAGATACCAAATTTTAAAACTCACAGTTAAGAGCAATATTAAAAACCAAAGAATGAAATAATCCCTTTAAAAAAAATCCCCTTGGTCAACCAGTCGTTCAAATGAAAGCCTGCCTGAACAGAAAGGTCTTCACCTGCTTGAAGAAGGACAGCAAAGTTAGGGCCAGCCTGGCCTCCAGTGGGAGGGAGTTCCAAAGCCCGGGAGCAACATCAGAGAAGGCCCTCACCTGTGTCTCCACCAAACACACCTGTGAAGGTGGTGGGACTGAGAGGAAGGTTTCTCCCGATGAACTTAATTACCCAGATAGGCTCACGGAAGTGCTTCGGCATTAACGAGAGCGCTATACAAATGAAAGTAATACATAAATAATAAAGGGAGATAGGGTCTCTTTTTTTGCATCCCCCCCACCCCGCATAGTGCGTGCTGGATCGATGCCGTACATTTTCCTTCTCCCTGTTCCTCCAAGGGGTTAACTCTGCAAGGGAGCCCAGGACACTTGGCTGTGGTGTCAGAAAATGTCAGAGTCTCTGGAATGAACACCCAACGTGTCTATTGTAAGGCTGGTGCACGCTTGACAAAAGTTGAGGGCCCGAACATTTTGCCTTCCCTTCGGCTACAGCCACGCATCTCATTTTCCAAGTTCAAGTTGAGGTGAATTACTTAGACACAAAAGCCTTTAAATTCGGACTCTGTTCAACTTTTTTTAAAAAACAGAAAAACTTAATCTTTCCCAAGGACCTCTTTTGTAGTTTTGTTTGAGCAATTAATACAGAAGCCAGTTCTTTCTGAGCTCGAGAATATGAGAGGGCAGATTTTCAGGAACATACTGGTCGTGTAATTAATTCTCGGCTGTAAATTTGTTTTGATGGCTTTAATTCTTTCCCAGAGGCGGAGAAGGGGCTACTTTTATTCCACCCCTGAGGGCCAGAGTCAGCTGAGAAACGGGCGAAAGACGAAATGGACTGTGAAAGAAGCAAGGTCTCTCTCTCTGCTTAACGCAGAGCGAGGAGGAAAAAAGGTTATGGGGACAGCTTTGCCAGATGCAGGCAGGAGATTTGCTCCTTAATTTTAAAGAAAAAGCTCCAGGAAGGGAGAGCTTTGAGCCATGGATGCCCATCCCCTGGGTGGGTGCATTTCTTTCTTCAGGAAGCCAGTTAGATTTGGGCTTAAGAGATGGAGGGGGGTGTCATCAAAGAAGTCGCAAAAAAAATATCAAAAGAGGTCTGGCTGCCGTTGTACTCCAAAGCAACAGGAGAGAACTTCATCCTTCAACCTGCCACGAACGTAGCACCGTGAAGCTGAAGCTTATCAGCTGAAGCTAGATAGAGACATATCCGGAGGCTTTGAAATATATTTAAAGCTATTATTAAACCTACACATAGTGAAGTTAGTTCTGCAACATGTAAAGTAAAAAAAAGAGTGTTTGCAACCATTTTGAACTGCAACCTGAGGACTCCCGAGGCAGCCTATACATTGCTATATGGACCCTACAACCAGGGATATTGTATAGAGAATGTATAGCCTCAGTAGTGTACTCCATGTGTGTGAAAAACTGGCTTGTAATCTGCAAAAGCTCACACTGAAATAATGTTCTGGAGCGCTGGGTCTGCAAAAGCTCACACTGAAATAAATCTGATAGCTTGTGGTCAACGTTCCTCTAATGTTCTGGAGCACTGGGCGGAGGTTCTCCCCCAACTTGTGTCTGGGTAGAGTTCATTGACCTTTTGCAGACTGTATTTTCCAGTGCTGGGAGCCAGGCCTTGTTAAGTTTTAGACTTTCCTTTTTTGTTGTTGTTGAAGCTCTGCTGGTGTTTATGGATTTCAATGGCTTCCCTCCGCGGTCTAACATAATGCTTGCTGGTGTTGTCCGGTACATCAGTATTTTGAAATAGAATTTCATGTCCAGCATGCCCAGCCACAAGGACCAGGGATCATTGCACAAAACAAGACCAGCTAAAGACACCCAGCAAATCACAGTGACAGATAATCTCTCCCTCTTATCACAACAATAGCTTCACAGCAAAAACACTCTGATCACCCTATCTCCTGAAAAGGACAAAAGTTGTTCCTGCAGCTATAAATACTCAACTGTCCAAAAAACACCAACACAGCATGAACAGAGTTCCTACTCCTGTCCTCTGAAGATGCCGGGCCACAGAGACTGGAGAAACGTCAGGAAGAACAACCTTCAGAACACGGCCAAAGAGCCCGAAAAACCCACAACAACCATCAGATCCCAGCCATGGAAGCCTTCAAGAATACAATATCCCTTAAAGTGACCCTTCTGTCTACGGGGGAATTGCTCCAGGCCATATCTAAAAAGGAGGACCCCCTACAACTGGACCAAAATTTACAGCTTGGGCAGGGATCACAGTCAGACTGGAGTAGATTCACCTGTGTGTCATCACCAGGAAATAAATTGCCCCGAACTGTCCCACAAGTGGTCGAAATTGTGTTTTATTGTATTTCCCCATGTGACCACACCCTAGCACAACAATGTCATAAGAAGGGCCGTGCTGGAACAGGCCAAGAGCCCATCTAGTCCAGCTTCCTTTATCTCACAGTGGCTCCATCCGAGGCCTCTGGGAGCACATTAGACAACGAGATCCTTGTCTCCTGATACCCCCTCCCCTGCATCTGGCATTTGGAGATCCCTTCCTTCTAAGTCTGGAGATTATAAATCCCCTTCATGGCTTGTAACCTGTGATGGATTTTTACTCCAGAAATCTGTCCAATCCTCTTTTATAGGCATCTAGGCCACATGCCATCACCACATCCTGTGGCAAGGAGTTCCACATCTCTTTGATAAATATTCCAGAAATGACAACTTCCTAGCTATGATGAGACGCATGAAAAATGCAGCCCTCTCCCTGAAATCTGTTTCTGAAACTTTGCTTGTGGCAGCAGTTATTTCTCACTTAGTATATGAATTGATCTACCTCCATACAGCTAGGGCATCCCAAGCCATCACCATATGTAAATATCTGTTGGGTGCTGCAACAGATAACTCTGCCTTTAGAATGCCTGCTTACGTTCCATTTTGATAAACATCTTTAAAAACTCCAAAGTTGATTGTGGAGTCGTGTCATGCTCTGCTTCTAATGACATGTTAATTATATGGTCTACTTTGACTTTCTGTCTCATTTGTTCAGTGCCGTTGTCAATCCTTCCCTTCTTCTCGAGAACGTTTTGTTTCAATTGGAAACAACAGCACCACCTTATTTATTTGTGCTGCTTCTTTACAGCATTTATTGTTTGTAATATTTATACACTGTACAGTATTTATATATTCCTTGTTTAAATACAGATTAAACAAGATACAATTAGAGATGGGCACAGGCCAAGGTTCAGTGGTTGTAGGTGTGTCTATCTATCTATCTATCTATCTATCTATCTATCTATCTATCTATCTATCTATCTATCTATCTATCTATCTATCTATCAAGTAACTTCATGGTTTTTAGGGCACCCTTTGAAATAAATCAGTTCCTTCCATTTGGCTTGATCTCTCAGCGCTAGGCATTCTGGTTAGCTTTCAAGAGAAGATGTAATATTGTGTTTGCTAAATTGTGTTATCGCCACTTTCTTGTAGCACAATCTGAGATGTGTAAACAAAGCCAGCAGGATGCATATCCAGCTGCCAGATGATATTTTTCACAGCTCCAGATTGCAAGAACAGGCTTGCCCTGGAAGAGCATGGTTTGGTTTGGTTTATAATTCTACTCTTAAAAAAAAAAAAACTCTGTGTTGGTTTGGTTTGGTTTATAATTCTACTCTTTTTTTAAAAAAAAAACTCTGTGTGGATTGTGCTTCTGTATTCATGGTTCAAAATACCAGGAAATGGTCTGATGCTGCTGCACAAAATCAAGCTCACGTTGCCAGGAGGAAAAAGGATGCCAAGCTTTACATAGCAAAAAGCAGCCTGAACTCTGATGAAACCCACATCAGCAGTCAAGACGGTGTACAGGAGACCCTCTAATGCTCACTACCATGTCTTCTAGACATTTTGATTATTTGGTGGTTCCAAGCAATAGAAACTTTGCTGGAAAACAGCCCTGACAATTGTTTCATCTTTGTGTGAGGAGTGACTGCTGAAAAACAGCCCTGACAATTGTTTTGCGTTTGTGTGAGGAGTGATGTAAAATGAATCAGGTTCTGGAATTCTCCCCTGTCTGGTGTCTCTTTGTGAATGGTAGTGTGAAAAAAAAATCAGAATAAAACTTTGACCGAATCCTCTGATTAATAATGTTGCCACATGTCTCACTGAGGTTGGTCATTTAGTCTTATTTTGACTGTTACATGTTGTCATCTTCCTTATCCATTGCCGCCATCTTGATTTTTAGATCTATTGTCCTTTAATGTATATATATACACACACTTGAATTGGGTGGGATTTGGCTGTATTTCCTTATGTTTATTTTATGGCTAGAAACCGTCCCAAGTACTAATTGTAATTCTGTTCCAACCCTTATTGTCAGAGACGAGTTTAGCAAACACCAATCTTACACCTTTCTCTCTCTCTCTCTCTCTCCACCTCCCTCACCTCCATTCCTCTTTTTAATTTTTTTTCCCCAGGAATGTGAGAAAAAAGGCTTGATAGAAAGAATCCACATGGTTCAGGATATTGTGTTAACCGTCCAAACTATTTTGGAGGAAATTGCCTCTTTTTCCGAAAGGATTAAAAAGTAAGTATATTTTTTTCCCCCCTGTGGAAATATTGTGACCCGGTTTGAAGGTTATCTGCGCTTCACTTTGAACAGGAGTTTGCTGCCAGTCCAACTATTGTGACTGTGGAATTCTGAGATTTTTTGTTTGTTTGATGAAGTGTATAGAATTCTCTTTTAGGAAGCACTCTAGCTGTATTTCAGCACAATATTCCGAATATCTCACTGTACTACAGATCACAGAATTCCACAGGAAGCAGCCACGACAATTCAAGTACCATCATACTGTGTGAAGTAGATGCTTTGCTAATATTCTAAGCTTGTTTGGGGTTTCTTAAAACATGAAAATGGATAATATATGGAAAGGGATTTTTTAAAAAAATCAACTGGCGATGCCACCCACCTTTATATTATTCATTCATTTTTGTTACTTACCCTTAATGCCCCCAGCCCACTCTCCCATGACTGTGGAGCCCCCTTCTTACTTTAATGTTAGTAGACCAGGCCACCATCCGTGAACTGATCTGTATCTGTGCCATTTGGAAGTCCCATCATCTTTCATTCTGAGAGTTCTACCTAACACAGACATGTAAAGGTTCCCCTTGACAATTTGTCCAGTCGTGTCCAACTCTAGGGGGCGGTGCTCATCCCCGTTTCCAAGCCACAGAGCCAGCGTTTTGTCCGCAGATAGTTTCCGTGGTCACGTGGCCAGCGCGACTAGACGCGGAACGCCATTAGGGTTCCCCAACCAGAAGAGCACCAATGTAACGCTGCAGGACTGCCTGGTTCAAAGATTCCTCTCTCTGCACTAAACTGAAGGAATGCACTGGGGGAATACCATATTGGGTTATGAAGCACACTTTGTCTTAACAGAGAAATTAGAGAGAGAGAGAGAGAGAAGAGGAAATAATACATATGTCAATATCAATGGAGACCTTACATGTTAAAATAAAGGAGGGCTGAACCCTGGCCCATAAATACATGGAAAGTATTTTCGAACCCATCAACCCTCGTAGAACTAACCTCTGAAACAGTCCCTTTGATAGTCTGCATTATACAGATGGAAAAGCTTATGTAAACCATTGTGGCACTTATTGACACCACTGTGGTAGACTCGCGGCCAACCCGGGTCCACAGCAACATTGCTACTGAGTTACAATGGGATTCCTGGGGGATTAGGCAGGGCAGCCATATTAATGCCCCACTGGGTTCTTAGAGATCATTGTCATCAAAATGAATACAGGAATTTACGATCGCCCGGCGTTTGCAAGCTTTCCTGTCACCCAGCTGCACACAGAACAGTGCTCTGTTCACAAGCCAGTAGACACGGCTTGGCCATTTCCCGCACAGCTGGGACAGATGTTTCAGACTTACAACACATGGGTTTGTTGTATTTTTAGACCCCCTTGTGGATGTTCTTTTAAAGACTGGAACGGTTGACATGACTCAATTCGTACGTGTGTGTTTTTTAAAAAGAGGAGGATCACACACTCACACCAGGGCATTGGTTCGGAAGAGGGAGACTGACAGAGAGAGAGAGAGAGAGAGAGAGAGAGAGAGATCATTATTGTTCACTTCTTGTATTGAAGAAAAAAGTTCAGTCAGAAAAACAAGCTTTCAGAAAACCAGAAAGTTTCAATGCTGAAACTTAAAGACGGTTTAGATCTGTAAACTGTAGAAGTGAAAGACTGATTGGGAATGAAGCTTGGTAGACTTTGCCTTAATGAATATTGAAATCTATGTCTGTAGAATAAAGGATATTTTTTTATAAATTAGTTGGGGATAGCATTTAACTCTGGTGAAATTAAATCAAGTAAACGCCAATTGCTCTAAGATGAATTGGAAAGGACGTTAGCAAATAGGCACTTCTTTTCATATGTGGTGGGAATGTGAGAATATATTAGAACGTTTGGCCATTAGTTTTCATGGAAATAAATGATATAACAAAGTTAAATTTAGGAGCATGTCTTAAAAGGCTGCTTTTATCAATATTGGATAAGGTGCACTGTAATTGGACAACTAAAGAATTTATTAACAGCAGCAAGATTAATGGTAACTAGGAACTGGAAAGCAAGCATGCTGTTCAGATTAATGAATGCTATAAAGAAGTTTGGGATAGAACCACTAATGGTATGTTAACATGTAATATGGGACGTGGTGGCGCTGCGGGTCAAACTGCAGAAGCCTCTGTGCTGCAAGGTCGGCAGACCAGCCGTCGTAAGATCGAATCCACGTGATGGAGTGAGCTCCCATCGCTTGTCCCAGCTCCTGCCAACCTAGCAGTTCGAAAGCATGTAAATGCGAGTAGATAAATAGGTACCACCACGGTGGGAAGGTAACAGCATTCCATGTCTAGTCACGCTGGCCACGTGACCACGGAAACAGTCTATGGACAAGCGCTGGCTCTATGGTTCGGAGATGGGGATGAGCACCTCGCCCTAGAGTCGGACATGCCTAGACTAAATGTCAACTTTACTTTAATATCTACTTTAATAAATGTTTACTGTAATATTACCTAACATGTAATATTGTCATAAAAAAGGCTGACTGCCAAAGAATTGATGCTTTTGAATTGTGGTGCTGGAGGGAGACTCTTGAGAGTCCCCTGGACTGCAAGGAGAACAAACCTATCCATTTGGAAGGAAATCAGCTCTGAGTGCTCACTGGAAGGACAGATCCTGAAGCTGAGGCTCCAGTACTTTGGCCATCTCATGAGAAGAGAAGACTCCCTGCAAAAGACCCTGATGTTGGGAATATGTGAAGGCAAGAGGAGAAGGGGATGACAAAGGATAAGATGGCCGGACAGTGTCATCGAAGCGACCAACATGAATTTGACCCAACTGTGGAAGACAGGAGGGCCTGGCATGCTCTGGTCCATGGGATCACGAAGAGTCAGACACAACTTAATGACTAAACAACAACAACCATTCAGAAAACAAACAATTGACAGTGCCATATACAGAGAGGATGAAAAGCACATGCTAGGACAAAGAGATACTTTTCACTGCTTGAGGGAGCACTGTTTCTTAATATATGCCAAGCATACCATCTTTTTTACCCTTAGACTTGGTGACAAGTTTTCTATCCAAGATACACATCTTATTTGGATTATAATGCTTCACCATTGACTACATTTGATTTTTCAACATTAGGGCTGGTGACTTTCTAGATGGTCCATGCACTGCAGCTGCTGGAATGCCTCACCATTGGCTTTGCTGGCTAGAACCAACGCGAGATCCTGTCCATCAAATGTCAGGAGATATTTGATGTCCCAACCCTCCTCTACACTTAATCACTTTGTGGACAAGCAGAGTCACCTTCTCTCTTATCCGCATTGTACATTATTTAGACACATGGCTGTGAAATGAAATGTTGTAGAGCAGTGTCAATACTCCACTTCAGGAATAGATAAACTGAGTAAATTAGAGACATATGGAAGATCATCTCTGGATCCTCCATCACCGCATCTGCCACCCTCTTTGCATACCCTCACTGCTCTATATGTTTACATGCCCTGGGCCACATTTTATTTTGATATTTGCACCTCTTGACGTGTTGATTAAGGATTATTTGTGTTTCATTTTTGTTCCCATGTATTGCTTTAGTTGACTGTAAACCACCCAGAGTAGTGCGTCTGCACTAATGGGACCGTATACAAATTAATTGGATGGATGGATGGATGGATGGATGGATGGATGGATGGATGGATGTTGGGTTGGGAAACAGTGTTGGGAGAAGGCAGGGAGAGTTGTGTTTCGTGACAGCCGCACCTTTTCTATAATGACTGGATTCTTCCTAAATTTGTGAAGTGGTTTTGTAGAAAGGCCTTGCATTTACATGAAAGTCCTGCTGTGATGCTCTATCCATGGTGACATTCACATGAACAGAGAGTATGCACCTTACACACTTACAGCAGGTTTAATTCCATTTTATTTGCGCTGGCTTCTCTCTGTGGAATCCCAGAATGTATATTTTGGTGAAGTGGCCAGGATTCTGCACTAGGCAGCTCGGATGCCATCCCAAGTCTTTCACTAAGGAACAAATTCCAGGATTCTGTTGGAAGAAGCCATGGCCGTTGAAGGGGTATTCAGCTGCTTTAACTGCATAGTGTAGAGATCCGCCTGGCTCCCTCATGGGGGGCCTTGAAGACTTTATTTGCGCTGGCTTCTCTCTGTGGAATAAAAGGTTTGCCCAGGCATTTAGCCTGAACTGAGTAACCTGATCATATCCGGCACCAGAGATCATGTGTGATGGCCATGCCCTACCCTCCAGCAGGGATGAGGACTCAAGTCGTACGGCTCACTACCAAGTTGGATTTAAGTCATACCAGTGACTCAACTGATTTTGTCTTTTCTTTTTCAATGACTCAGATTCAACTTGTGACTCAGAACTCACCCACTCCTTCATTTTCTTTTCCTGCGGGTGAAATGCTTGTTTTTAATGGGAACTCGGGCTTGGGGGGCTTGCTACCAAAGATTTAGACTTGGCACCAAAGACTCGTATTTGGACATGGATCCAAAGACTGGCCAACATCCTTGACTCCCTGTGCCTGATGATTTTTGCCTCTCTGTTCAGACTTGCAGTATATTGGATGGATGGATGGATGGATGGATGGATGGATGGATGGATGGATGGATGGATGGATGGATGGATGGATGGATGGATGGATGGATGGATGGATGGATGGATGGATGGACACGTGACATGTGAATGGGCCATCACAGCCAGGACTCCCACGTGAACCTAGGCTTTTCAACAAAGCCAGGTCACACCTTCAGGCAGGAACTGGACGTTATAGGGAAAGGTGTGGCAGCCTCTGAGCTGAAAAATTGTCTTAGTGGAAACATTTTAAACCAGACCATCACGTATCGTTGGTTGCCTGCAAAAGGCTTGCCCAGGCATTTAGCCTGAACTGAGTAACCTGATCATATCCGGCACCAGAGATCATGTGTGATGGCCATGCCCTACCCTCCAGCAGGGATGAGGACTCAAGTCGTACGGCTCACTACCAAGTTGGATTTAAGTCATACCAGTGACTCAACTGATTTTGTCTTTTCTTTTTCAATGACTCAGATTCAACTTGTGACTCAGAACTCACCCACTCCTTCATTTTCTTTTCCTGCGGGTGAAATGCTTGTTTTTAATGGGAACTCGGGCTTGGGGGGCTTGCTACCAAAGATTTAGACTTGGCACCAAAGACTCGTATTTGGACATGGATCCAAAGACTGGCCAACATCCTTGACTCCCTGTGCCTGATGATTTTTGCCTCTCTGTTCAGACTTTGTGACCAAGGGCAACAGGATCTCATGAGGAATTTGAGTCATCTTGGCTTTAACACCAGTTCTCCATGCAGTTGGCGACCCCAAGAGATGATACCTGTGATGCCTGTGAACATTTCAAAAATAACTCAATAACTTTTATCTCTTCTTGTTTTTCCCAGCACGTTCAACTGGACTGTTCCTTTCCTCTCTGCCTTGGCCTGTTTAATACTTGCCGTGGTAGTCATTACTCTGTATTACATACCACTGAGATACATCATTCTCATCTGGGGTAAGTCAGTTCTGAATGTGGTTTTACTTCAGTAACCCAGGGATGCATTGACACAGGGACCTGTTGCTTTATTGTGTCAAATGAACATTGTGCGGAATGTGTCACAATCAAGCCCCAGGATTTCCAACTAAAACAAGAGTGCACAAGCTTCGACCCCTCTCTCTGAGTCCCCCATAGGATGACACCCTGCCCCCTTTTCTCCACAGCTGCCTCTCCACGTTTGTTTCTTCTTTGTTAGATAAGGATCCAGGAATTTTATAATTGTCTGTGTACGTGTGTGTGTCTGTGTCTCTCTGTGTATGTGTGCAAGGGCAAAAGTGTGACAAAACCAGGACAATTTGTCCCAATGCTCTAATCAGCTTGGAAATAGTGAACAGATTCTTTCGCTGTCTGCCCGGAAGAATTCAGGTGATTTCTGTGTTCATCTGAGGGAAGCTTCGATGACGTCGGCCGCATTGGCCCTTTTGTAAATGTGTTATGTGCCTCGAAGGTGTCTTGTCACACACCCCCTTTGTCTTTGGGCACATCATACTTGAGTATCATGCCCTCTGAGAAGGAGACGGACGTGTAAATCACTTTCCTTTCCCCTCCTAGAATGTCGAAACTGACAGGCAACCCTAGGCCACCAATGTCCTGTTTGAGGAGATTTTGCATTTGCTGAGGTATTTCCAGGGACAACATGTGGCTGACATACCACACAGCATTGTGTGGTATCTGTTCCTACTTTCCCCCTGCTCCCCCCCGCACACGTACACACACACCCCTTAACAATGAGATTTTTTCATTCCTGAGGCAGGCTGTGTTGCTTTGTAATAAACCTCCCACTGCTTCCTTGAAGGAAAGATGTTTGTGAATGTTTCCACATGACAGCAACATGTGTCCAACTCATCTGTGTTTTCACACTAATTTTTTCTTGTAAAACCCATCCTCCCACCCTGATGCCACCACTTCTTGCCTCAGCAAGTAAGGCATTTATATGCTGTACGGCCCGTGTATCTCTGTTTTCACCCTCCTCCTTGTCTTCTTCTTCCAACCAATTTTTTTTTGTTCTTCTGTTTTCCTTTCCCAGGCATAAATAAATTTACAAAGAAGCTTAGAAACCCCTACGCCATTGACAATAATGAGTTGCTGGATTTCCTCTCCAGGGTCCCATCGGATGTTCAAAGGGTAAGTCATGAATGGCCAGCCTCCAGCTGAGACAGCAGGCCGAGCCCAAAGAGCCACCAGGTGCAGTGTTGTGGAGAAACACAATGCAGGGGCATTTGGACCAGGGGAGATCAACCAGCATCTGAAGAACTCATAAACCAGGGTGGGAAGGTGGGGGTGGAAGGGAGGAAAGGGGGCAGACACAGGAAAGGGGAAAGGCCTTGGTGGGAAAGGCCTTGGTGGGAAGAAATGGTCTCCCCCCCTCCTAGTCTTGAAAGGCTTAGAGGCTTACTCAGTATGAGTACCAAAGGCTTCCCCTCCCCATACCGAACTGTGCTTGTGTGTGTATGTCTATACGCACATGTACAACCGTCCTATCCAGGATAGCAGTTTAACGCTGCTTTGTGTAGCTATTTATCTGAGAGTAAGCTTTATTTTGAACTCGGTGGGAATTTCTCCTGAGTCAAGAAGCTCAGGACTGCACTGTGTGAGAATATATTTTCCTGTGTATACACTTCTGTGTACATATACTGTGTGTGTGGCTTTACACATACATGCATTTTTGTACACACATGTATGCACGCACACAATTTTAAAAATAGGCAGAGGAGTTGACTCACCCAATCTCCATTGATGCAACAAGTCTACTTTAGTGTGATTTACTTGGCCAATCAACAGGATTTGGGCCACTGGTTTTCTTGACAGCTTACCTAGGATAAGCAGCAACAAGTCTTCATGTAGCAAAGCTGGAGATTAAAAACTGATGTTGTCCAAGTGGAGAAAGTGAGCTTTTAAAAATCTTTTATGCAGTCTCTCCATGTGGGTAGGAAAACTTCCTTCACTGCTGGTCGATTCTGCCCCAAACGTGTTCTTTTCCAGAGCAATCAGAGAGATATGATAAACTCTTGTTTACATTTTGCTAAACAGCAAATCGTTCTTGACTTGAAATGCAAGTTCCACAGGATAGTCATTGGGGAGGCAGAGAGGACACCGTCTCAGTGGACTGACTCTTGATTTATTTTTTATTCGTGTTTTTCTTCCCAGTCTATAAAGTCATTAAGCTTCAGTATACTTTCCTCTGCCTTCTTACTTTTTCCTCCGGCTCTTTCCTACAGAGGACACAGAACTGGCAGTGGCAGTGTACATGAATATTTATATTTGAAGATAAGCTGTTCATCCGTTTAGGATATAGATATAAAGCATTCATGTGTAGAGTTTGCCTGGAACAGTTTCCTTTTATCCTCAGTGGCCTTAAAGGAAGTTCACGATAAAGGGGACAGTGAGGGGAGAAGATAGTTCTGGGGCCTTGTCTGAGAGAGTGTGTATTGTTGGAATGAAGGCTTGGCACCAGCTGTTAGAACTAAGACAGTACAAGTCACATTCAAGTGTTTAGAAAAGTACATAAGAAGGCAAAAACATAAGCATCCACTCCAAATTGATAGTGGATCACTGAAAACCTTGTATGACTTTAATTGTAGCATACGCTCAATATTTCCTCAACCAAAATTATTTTGCTTTGCTTTAAAAAAAACTAATTGTGCAGTTGGGAAAGAGAAACAATCACTACCAAGTTTTTTGGAATTATGTTTTTGTGCAGCCGAGCAAATTAAAAAAGGCAATTAAAAAAAATGGGGAAAGCTCAAATAACAAATTTTAAATTAGGAAGCAAAATTATTTTGCTTTGCTTTAAAAAAAAACCAATTGTGCAGTTGGGGAAGAGAAACGATCACTACCAAGTTTATTTGAATTATGTTTTTGTACAGCCGAGCAAATTAAAAAAGGCAATTCAAAAAAAAATGGGGAGAGCTCAAACAACAAATTCTAAATTCCGATCAGCACCAAATCGGGCACAGGTGCACCAGACAGTCTGCCCTTGCGCTGCGTGAAAATTGGGAACGTTTGGGCAAAACTCAGGTTATGGGTTTTTGAGTGTAAAACTGCCCCCTGTGCAGAAACAAGTGACTCTCAGTGTTCCCAGATTTAAAATCACCCATTCAAATTGAAAAGACCAATATTGCTTATCTTGAAAGAGAATGCTTGGTCCCACTCATTTTTTTAAAAATTGAAATAAAACTTATCTTGAAAGAAAATGGTTGGTCCCACTCATTTTTTTAAATTGAAATAAAAGGATGCAAGGGCTGAAATACTGATCCTCAAATAAAGCCTTTCCAAAAGGGAAAAAAATGACTTTCTTATAAGACTGAGCATGGGTGGAACAGGCTTACCAGCAAGAGCATTTCATAGTAGATACATTGTTGCAGGTTCATAGGCCATGATGTTTGGAGGGCAACGAAAAACCACACAAATACTCAAAAATTAGGCTTGCTTTGAAGAAAGTAATGGAATGACAGTCCTCTAGAAAGGGACAGTACGCCACGTATCTCCAGGGAATTAGGATATAGTTTTATAAGGCACATTCAAAATATTTCTTCATAACAAAAATACAGAGCAGTTGTGTTTGCCCTGAGTACTATCAGTAAACATTGTCTCAAGGTTTCTGACACCAGGCTCCTGACACAAGTCTTGAAAGCAAAAATCAGCTCAAGGCAATCTGAACTTCAGGCCTTCACGGCCCGCTCAAGGCAATCTGAACTTCAGGCCTTCAGGGCCCAAATACCCTCTTGTGCTCACCACCATTCACATTTGTTAAAAACCAGCCCTGACAATTGCTTTGTGTTTGGGTGAGAAATGGTTAACTGATGAAATGAGGAGCTTTGTGTTTGGGTGAGAAATGGTTAAGTGACGAAATGAGGAGTCGGCTTCTGGGATTTTCCTTTGCTTGGCATCTCTGTGAATGGTAGGAACCGCAAGAGGGGATCCTGTAGATTATCTTGCCTTCTGGCTCAAGAGGGGATCCTGTAGACTATCTTGACTTCTGGCATGGATGTCATCAACATTTGCCCTTTAAAGCTTGCCATGCCCCATAATGGAAGAGGGGATCCTGTAGACTATCTTGACTTCTGGCATGGATGTCATCAACATTTGCCCTTTAAAGCTTGCCATGCCCCATAATGGCTATGTCATCAACATTTGCCCTTTAAAGCTTGGCATGCCTTTTTCCCTGCTGGCTGCATAGTCATAATGAGCAGTATCATAACTTCTGTATCTGGATACTGACGCACAACATGCTGCATTCATGAACTGGAGATTTTTATTTATTTATTTATTTGAAGAACATATTCCACTAAAATAAGTCAGATGCAGTAAAAAAAAAACCTCAGAATTTTGTGATGTCTTAAAGAGAAGCACATTTATTCTCACATGAGTTTTTCTCAGTCTCCTTCATCAAGTGTAATGAGTTTTTCTCAGTCTCCTTCATCAAGTGAATACATACAGTAGTACCTCGGTTTACGAAATTAATGCATTCTGCGGGGCATTTTGTAAAGTGAAAATTTTGTAAACCGAAAGACAGATTGCCATAGGAAGGATGTAAACCGAAACGCAGATTGCCATAGGAAGGAGGGCACTGCTATAAACCTCCAGGCACGATGCATCCTGGGGAAACTTTCTTTATAAACTGAAACAAACAAACAAAATGTAAACCAAGGCATTATTTTCAATGGATTTCCATTTGTAAACCAAAAATTATGTTAGCTGAGGCATTTGTAAACCAAGGTACTACTGTATATTTATGTCAAGCGAAGTTTGGGAATAACTGTTTTGCAAGATATAGTGAACATGTGACTGCGGTGGGAGTCTATATGTGAGTTAATTAGTTAAATGAAATAAACGAGATCCATTCATATGGGATCATGAGGTGTAGGCATATTAAGGGTGCATGTAGTTTATCCTTTCTGCGTCTAGCAAGAAACATGGATGTGCCATGCTATAGTCCCAATTTCTAAAACCAAAGTGTATTTATCACTTTGTGTGTGTGTGTGTGCGCGTGTGCGCGCAAGAAACAAGCCATCTACTTTCTTTTCCAAACCCAAGGAAGGAGAATTAAAAATGAACAGAGCAAAGCCATTCTTAGCCCATGCCGAAATCAGGTGGAAGCCCCCACCCCCCTGCCCGGTGCATCTCATTAGGAAAAAAAAATCTGGTTTTAATATTTTGGTTTTCAAGAAATGATGCATGACTTCTCAAATCCTTCCTGCAATTAATCCCCCGTGTTACTGTGTTTAGAAAATGATTCATTACTTTTGAACCTTCCTTAGTTTTCCCTCCGTTTGTCCTTGGGGAGCCATTAACGCATAGTGGAGGGAGCTTGGATTACCTTGTTGCAAATGTGACGTCTGTTTGTTTTTACAGGTGCAACATGCTGAATTGAAACCATACAGCGGTTCCAGTCCCATTAGGAAGAAATGGAGCGCTCTGTAGGATGGAGGGTTTGGAATGTAATACGCCCTTCTCCTATGTACTGTGTGTACAGGACCTCCCCAAATTTTTCAGATCAAATCTTTGCTACGCGGACTGCATCCCGGATGTTTTGTCTGGAAGCCATACACAGATTTTATTATTGTTTTTAATTGAACCTATCCTTGTATCTGGCTATTTTTCAAAAACCAGTGATTTTTTTTCTTCTGTTAAGAACATACTTCATGTCAAAATGGTCTGAATCCTGGAGTCAAACTCACATAGGACTGATTCTTTTTTTTAGCAGAGAAGAAATCTCTGTCTCTTTCAATCTCTCTCTCTTTTATATGTCAAAGCTGACCTGAAGAGTTTTGAACCTTAAAAGAAAAAAAAAGTATCCAAGGGATTTTCATCAAGATACAGAAAGGATTCGTCCTTTGGCTGAGTTGACCATGTGTTGATGGTTTCTGAGCTCAGAACTAGCAAATCTTGGATACCCATCATCTGCTTTCAGTAAAGTACGGGGAAAACGGGGAGGGGAGGGGAAGAAGAAAAACAAATGTTTCGCAAGAATTCCAAGAAAATGCTCAGGATTCATATTTCTTTCATCTAGCTAATGCTGCTGATATGCTCACAAAGAACTGCCAAAGCTGGCTAGTTGCCAAAGCCGAAGTGCCTGAGAGGGGTCTGTTGCTGGCAATGGACATCCTGCAAGGTTTGTTTCAACTGGAGTACAAGAATGGAATCTCCCAACGACCCTACAGATGCTGTATTTTTTATGTGCCTTCAACCTGTACCTTTTATCAGACCTTTTGGGGACTCTTCCAACGCTATCATTTTAATCCAAAGATATATTCATAGTTATGTGCTGTCAAGTCAAAACCTACTTATAGCAATCCTAATAGGGATTTCAAGACAAGTGACAGGTTTAAGGAGAATTTTTTCAAGCTCCACTCCCCCAGGCTGAGAAGGGATTTGTATCCTGGTCTCCAGCATCTTCTCTGTCACTCTACCCTCTACTCACACTGGGTATCTGCATTTACACTGCTTATGGTTAGGCATCCTTCAGTCTCGAGAGACTATGGTAACGTGCTGTGTATGAGCGTCCTCTCCAGAGCACGAAGTCTGGGTAAAATAATATGGAGGATAAGCTGTTACCCAAGCAGCAAATCCCCCCTCTCCACATCGCTGAAATGGTCCAATGGAAAGGCAAGAGCCAGTACAAATGGTTCCAGCGACATCACAGGAGTTGCCAGAACGACACAAACTGCCTCCGGGACTCCAGCTCCGGATTTTGCCTCGAGGTTGACTCCTGAAGCCTTTTCCATCAGTGGGTATAGCCACAAGGCAGTGGAGGTTTGAAATCGGAGTTTTCCTTCTCCTAGATGGGCTGCCTTCCCATGTTGACGAGCCCCACCCACCCGAAATTTACACTACATATGCAACATATATTTTTATTAGAGGCTAGACAAGAAGAGGTACAGGCTAAATTAATATATCAGTAATGATGATATCTGATCTTTTTAAAGCAAGTTATTTTATTTTAATTGTGCAATCCAGAGTTTGTGCTGCCATTTTGTTTACATGGCCGTAGAGCAGGATGATTGCTCTTGTGCTCCAGCCTATCTCATCAACAAGAGCAGGATGATTGCTCTTGTGCTCCAGCTATCTCATCAACACTCAGTATATTGTCTGTCTATCCCTGTTACTGAAATGCTGGCCTACAGCAGTGGACATGAGAAGTCTGTACATCATTCTATAGGTGGACATTCATTTGAAATAGCTATGAATTGCTTCCTTAATACCTCATCTTGGTTTAGAACAGGGGTTCTCGGCCTGAGGTCCTCGGATGACCCATCATCCTTGAGCTAGAGATGAAGGACACTGGATTTGATGGTCTGACCGAGTGTCGCCTTTTCAGCCCTATCAAGAATTGTTGTGAGAAGACTTATACTGTGGTTGAAGAATTTGCACATTTCCCATTTGGGAAAATCAAATACGCACTTGTTATAAAATCAGGCCCAATTTAGAGCAAAGAAGCCGTAAGAAAAGGAAAATAAATTGAGTAAATGTGGAAAATGCGAACAGCCAAAAATGTGCACAGATTGAATTTCTTTTTTAGTAAACATGCTTTAATCTTTATCGGAACATGGATAAGCACATAAGTAAATACATGCATTCAGTGAAACGTATTAAATGTGTGCAAATATCAATGTGAGAAAAAAGCCACAATAAAGAGCAGAGGGGGAAAAAGTGGAGGTGGAATTCAGAAAAATACAATAGGGCTACCATATCTGTGGGACCGGTGTACATGGTTTGGCCATAGTCTGAAAATGTGCAATGGTGAGGGGGGGGACATTCCCAGGAGATCCAATCTGCTGGCAGAGAGGGCCTAGGAGGGTGTTGGCAACTGGAGGCTTCAGAAGGATCAGTGGAAGCAGCTGATCACTCTGATGTATCCTACATTTAAAAGTATACTGTTTGCTATTTGTTTATAATATGTTTCTTAATATCTGGAGTTTACAGTATCTGGGGGTGGGGAGTTTGGAACCGATCCCCCGTGAATACTAGGGTCCAGCTGTACCAAGAAACTGAGATGTTCTCCCATCCCTACAGTATAGACCAGATAGGCGGGATATAAATCGAATAAATAAATAAAATAAATAAAGTAAGCTTTTAAAAGTGCCAGTCGGAGCTGGGGAGAGATCTCCGGGTTCATTTTCCAGGCAAGTGGAACATGAGGGGTAAGAGGAAGGAGAAGACAAAACACTTCCATGACTTCTGTATGAGTCTTGAAAGGGGAAAGATGGCAAGGCACAGTTGAAAACTGAATGGTCTTGCACTCTGAAATTCAGATAAAGAAAGTAAAAAGAGTTTCATGCCAAACGAGAATTGTGGTGGTGATGGAACTCCTTCGACATTTGAGCTTGGGGGAAAGGAAGCTCAAGTTTGTAACACAGACTGAGAGTAGCCTTGGTGTTACTAATCCTGGAACTCCGTCACCCTGGTCTTGCTCGATTGTGCCATAAATATGTGGGGCTGAATTTATATAATGGGTCACTCAGTTTTTGATCTGCTTGTCTTGTGTCATCTGTATTGTTTTAGTTCAGTAAGTTGCTTTCTGGAATGACCCTGCAGGGTTGGTTTACGAGAGATTTTAATTTTATACAGAAAACATTTTGATGAGGCAATAAAGATCAAGATGGTGTACATTTATTTTGAAAGGATACTCTTTAGTGTGTGTTTTTCGTCACTTGAATCACCTCAGTGTCTGTTTTGGTTCATTTACCCACATATTCTATATTGTGTGAACCTATCCCCTGTCATCATTGGCAGAGATGGGACAAGATACCAAAGTATTTTTGTTTTGTTTAACTACAACTCCCAGTCTTCGTTGACTATGGGATCATAGGACTCGTAGTACAAGAAGTAAATTCTCTCATCTCTGGTCACGAGAGCTTTGGATAAGGTGCTTGGGTGTCTGTTTCCAACGAGTGCTTCCATCAAGCACTAGAAATGAGACTCCTTCCACCACCCCCTCTGCACCTGGAAGGGGAGAGAAGAGCAAAGTTCACAAAACCCGTAGGTGGGGGGGTAACTCATCCTACACCTGATGACCCAGGAAAATGTGGGTTTCAGGGGAGGTGTCTAATTGTACGGTCAGATAGGGAATCACATTCTAGAAGAGATGGTCCCACACATGGTGAAAAACATTTGTGTCATGCATGTGATTTTTGTCAACATGTCTCTTGTCTTTACCATAATTTATTTTGTGATTGGCCATTGGATGGTTAGCACGGGCTTCATTCGCAAGTCTGATTGATGAAGGACATATCTGAGGAAATCCTGTTGTCAAAGAAAATTGGGTTAATTGATAGGAAAATGTCTCCCACTTCCCATTGAGTTGGACCCAACCTCCTCTTTAGCAGGGAAAGCTACTCTGCCGAGGCCTTTGGTGAATGTTTGGTTGAGAAAAGAGAGGAAGTAGTAGATGCCAGTGTTCCATGTGAGTTTCCTTGAGCTTCGTCAAACATTCATGCTATCTTTTTAAAAAATATAATGTGTGTGTGTGTCTGGTGTGTGTGTGTGTGTGTATTTGTATATTCCTTTGCATCTGTCAATGCATTTCCACAGACTACTTGACCCATTAGTTTAAATTGGTGATAGATAGATAGAGGACAGACAGACAGACAGACAGACAGACAGACAGACAGATAGATAGATAGATAGATAGATAGATAGATAGATAGATAGATAGATAGATAGATAGATAGATAGATAGATAGATAGATATCCTACTTTGCATTTAGACAGCTCTGTCTGATGTGTTTTACTTCCAGCTTAATAAGGCTCATTGGAAAGAATCACGAAATCTCCCACAAGTCTCTGTTGCTTGTAAGTGTAATAATAGCTATACACCCCTTCCATGTAACTTGTGAGTCAGTCATCTATCTAAACAATGCCTCATCATCTCCTTCTGACCTATTGTTCCATTTTTTACCCTGTAGGCTTTTCTGATTTTTGAAAACAAAAGCATAGTTGACCATAAAAGGAGGCTTATAACATCTGAATTAGTTTCAGTAGCAGCTTCCAAACAGCAGCGAACCAAGTTTCTTATTAAAAAAAATAAGAGTTGTCTTTATATATTTACTGCAACTTTTAGACTTATACTCACAAATGATTTTTTTTAGTAATTCTCTCTCCCTCTCTCTTTATGTATATGCACATGTGAATTCTGCATGTTGCTAATACCTCTGGTGGCATCAGGTGGAATTACTTCCATGAGAAGTTTTAAAACCCCAAGAAACACAGATCTGAACTACGGCAAGAAAGGGCAAAACACAAGAACACAAAACAATACACCAAGGAGAAGGGGAAATCCACAAAGTATTAAGTGGGAAGGTATTGAACCCCAAAAATAATCCCAAGAATGCAGGAAAAGGAAAGAATCCCACTGTAATTAAAAAATTAAACAAAACAAGAGAGTGTGAACCAGAATTGTGTGGAGAATGAATGGATGAATGAATGAATGAATGAATGAATGAATGAATGAATGAATGAATGATTGAATAAATAGCAAACAAAACTTTTTAAAAAATGGTCTTCAGTGGCTTCCAAGATTTCCTACAGATTCAAGATTCCTCCTTACCCCCGCAGAATGGTTTGAATAGCTGTTGACAGCCCGTACTAGTCACACCACCATGTCTTTGTAATAGCCCTCACAACTCGGCGAGATGAAAAAATTATCAGGTGATAATCTACATTCAAAGGGTGAAATAAAGGTAAAAAAATTTTTTATACAGAACTTGAAAGAAAGTTTGCACAAAAGAAGGAAACACGAAAGAACATGAAACTTTTGTGTTCCACTCTTTTGCTGATGAGAATCATTCATGTTTTACAGGCTTAAAAAAACCCACACACGAATGAATGAAAGAACACAAAAATGAAAACAAGAGTTTTGCTCATGTTTATTTTCCCCTTTGTGTTAACATGAAAGTCCCACCTCTACTTTTTGCTTTTGGTGGGGTTGGTTTATCCCCAAGCAAATTCCAGAGGCTTGAACGAAACCCTTCAGCAACTAGACCTCTGCCCCACCAGGAGTAGTGGCCTAAACAAAGGGAAAATGTCTTTGTTACCTCATGAGTCTCCAGAGGTGCAAAAATTGTATGTTTGTTGAAACTGGCGAATCCAACAGAATTCTTTCCATTCCCTTTGGCTGCGAACCCCTAACATTGAAGGCTAAGGTTTGAGGGATTTGCTGGTCACCTTCCGGGTAACCATTTTTGAGAGGCTGAAGTGCTATCCCTTTCCTGCATTCTTCATGTATTGACCAAACTGGAGAAATCATTTTCCCGTTAATTCCTGACAAGCCCGTGTACAAAGGAAGTCCCAGGACTCTCAGAGGCGTCGCACTGTCGCAAGTTCAACTGCCGCATGCTTTAAACCTTGCTTTGATCACCATCCTCTCTGCTCCTCCCTCCCTCCCGGCCTCTTTCTCTCTCATCCCACCCACCAGTATGTCTCGAGGTCCCCCCTGAGTGCTTCTCGAACGGAGCAAGCTGCTTCCAGAGAAATGGGAAGCTTGAGGAAGGAGGGGGAAAT